AACCAAGAAAAGAGGAGAGAAAATTGAAATGACCTCTCATTAAGAAACAAGTGACACCACTGAAATACAAAACAGTTTTTGAAGCTACTAAGAACACCTTTACACACATAATCTAGAAAACCTAGAAGACATGGATAAATTCCTGGAAAAATGCAACCCTCCTAGCTTAAATCAGGAAGAATTAGATACCCTGAACAGACCAATAATAAGCAGTGAGATTCAAATGGTAAATAAAAGATTACCAATAAAAAAAAAGTCCAACACCAGATGGATTCACAGCAGAATTCTACCAGACATTCAAAGAAGAATTTGTACCAATCCTTTTGACACTATTCCACAAGACAGAGAAAGGGAGAACCCTCCCTAATTCATTTTATGAAGCCAGAGTCACCCTAATACCAAAACCAGGAACAGACATAACCAAAAAAACTACAGACCAATATTCCTGATGAACACAGACACTAACAAAATACTAGCTAATGTAGATGCTTAACAAAATACTAGCTAACGAGATCCAACAGCATATCAAAAAGATAATACACGATCAAGTGGGTTTTGTACCAGCGATGCAGGGATGCTTTCACATATGCAAGTCAAGAAACGTGATGCATAAACAGAGTTAAAAACAAAAATCACATGATCATCCCAGCAGATGCAGAACAAGCACTGGACAAAAGCCAGCATCCCCTGATGATTAAAACTCTCAGCAAAATCGGCATACAAGGGACATACCTCAATATAATAAAAGCCACCTATAACAAATCCACAGCTAACATAATACTGAATAGGGAAAAGCTGAAAAAATTCCTACTGAGAACTGGAAGACAAGGATGCCCACTCTCACCGCTCCTCTTCAACGTAGTATTGGAAGTCCTAGCCAGAGCAATCAGACAAGAGAAAGAAATAAAGGGCATCCAAAGTGGTAAAGAGGAAGCCAAACTGTCACTGCTTGCTGACTATATGATCATTTGCCTTGAAAGCTCTAAGGACTCTTCAACAAAGCTCCTAGAACTGATTTAAAAAAAAAATTCAGCAAAGTTTCTGGATACAAGATTAATGTACACAAATCTCTTCTATACACCAACAGCAACCAAGCTGAGAGTCGAATCAAGAACTCAACCCCTTTAACAACAGCTGCAAAATAAAATACTTAGGAATATACCTAACCAAGGAGTCGAAAGACCTCTACGAGGAAAACTACAAAATGCTGCTGGAAGAAATCACAGACGACACAAACAAATGGAAACACATCCAATGCTCACGATGGGTAGGATCAGAATTGTGAAAATGACCATACTGCCAAAAGCTATCTACAAGTTCAAAGCAATCCCCTTCCAAATACCACCATCATTCTTCACAGAATTAGAAAAAATTCTAAAATTCATACGGAACCAAAAAAATCCCTACATAGCCAAAGCAAAAAGAGCAAATCTGCAGGCATCATACTACCTGATTTCAAACTATAAGGCCATAGTCACCAAAACAGTGTGGTACTTGTATAAAAATAGGCACACAGACAAATGGAACAGAATAGAGAACACAGAAATAAGCCCTAATACTTAGAACCAAATGATCTTTGGCAAAACAAACAAAAACATAAAGCAAGGAAAGGACACTCTTTTCCCCGAAATGGTGCGGGGATAATTGGCTAGCTACATGTAGGAGAATGAAAGTGGATCCTCATCTCTCACCTTATACAAAAATCAACTCAAGACAGATTAAGGACTTAAATCTAAGATCTAGAAGATAACACTGAAAAACGCTTCTAGACACTGGCTTAGGCAAGGATTTCATGACCAAGAACCCATAAGCAAATGCAATAAAAACAAAGATAAATAGCTGGGACTTAATTAAACTAAAGAGCTTTTGCACGGCAAATGAACAGTTAGCAGAGTAAACAGACAACCCAGAAAGTGGGAGAAAATCTTCACAATCTATACATCCAACAAAGGACTAATACCCAGAATCTACAATGAACTCAAATCAGTAAGAAAAAAACAATCCCATCAAAAAGTGTGCTAAGGACATAAATAGACAATTCTTAAAAGAAGATACACAAATGACCAACAAACATATGAAAAAACGCTCAACATCAATACTGATCAGGGAAATGCAAATCAAAGCCACAATGTGATACCACCTTACTCCTACAAGAATGGCCATAATAAAAAAAAAATCAAAACACAGTAGATGTTGGCATGGATGCAGTGGTCAGGGAACACTTCTCACTGCTAGTGGGAATGTAGACTAGTACAGCCATATGCAAAGCAGTGTGGAGATTCCTTAAAGAACTAAAAGTAGAACTACTATTTGATCCAGCAATCCCACTCCTGGGTATCTACTGAGAGGAAAAGAAGTCATTACACATAAAACATACTTGCACATTCATGTTTATAGCAACACAGTTCACAACTGCAAAATTGTGGAACCTACCCAAATGCCTATTAATCAATGAGTGGATTAAAAAAAAAACTGTGGTGCATATATATATATATGATGGAATACTACTCAGACATAACAAGAAATGAATTAACAGCATTTGCAGTGACCTGGAATTTGCAGTGATTTGAAAACACGAGAGTATTTTTACAAAGTGAGAGGTAACCAATGACTTCTCAGAAAGGATACAAAAAGTTCTAAGCATGATGAAAAAGTGAATAAACTAGGCTTCAAAATGGAAAACTCCTCATAAAAGACCTATTGAGAAAATGAAAAGGCTTTATTTAACACAAACTGGGGAAACAAACATTCAAAATACACGGTTATATCCAGATTACATAAAGAACTACAAATCAATAAAACCCAATTAAAAAAAACTTGATCAGACATTTTCCAAAGAGGAATGCATGGCCAATAAGCATATGAAAAATACACTCAAGATCACCAGTTACTAGGGAAATCCAAACTAACAATACAATGATACTAGTACATACCCATTAGAATGGCCATAATTAACAAAGAAAGAAGAGTAACACTATAAAATGCTGTAATATGGTACAACCATGGAAAGCATTTGGTAGTTTTGCAAACATTAAACTTATGATATAACTCACTGATTACACTCCTAATACACACACACACACACATTTTTTTTTTTTTTTTTGAGATGGAGTTTCACTCCTGTTGCCCAGGCCAGAGTGCAACAGCACCGTCTCCCAGGTTCAAGTGATTCTCCTGCCTCAGCCTCTCAAGTAGCTGAGATTACAGGCACATGCCACCACCCCCAACAAATTTTCATATTTTTAGTAGAAATGGGGTTTCACCATGTTGGCCAGCTGGTCTCGAATTTCTGACCTCAGGTGATCCACCTGCCTCGGCCTCTCAAAGTGCTGGGATTACAGGCATGAACCACTGTGCCTGGCCACTTCTAATATATTTATATTCATAATGAATGAATAGGCCAGGCACATACAAAAAAACTACACAGTTTATTATAAATATAATAAAATTTAATAATAATATTTATATTTTGAATTCCAGGCTTTTATTAAATCCCAGGCATTGTAAAAATATAATGTTAAGGCCAGGTGCAGTGGCTCATGCCTGTAATCCCAGCACTTTGGAGGCTGAGGCAGGTTGATTAGCTTAGGTCAGAAGTTAGAGACCAGCCTGGCCAACATGGTGAAACCCAGTCTCTCCTGAAAATACAAAATTAGCTGGGCATGGTGGCAGTGCACCTGTAGTCCCAGCTACTCGGGAGGCTGAGGGATGAGAATTGCTTCAACCCAGGAGGCAGAGGTTGCAGTGAGCTGAGATCGCACCACTGCACTCCAGCCTGGGCGACAACAGCAAAATTCCATTTCAAAAAATAAAATAAAATAAAATAAAATTTATATATATAATGTTTATATTTTGAATCCCAGGTTGAATTTCTCTTATTTGAAATGCTTGGGACCAGAAGCGTTCTGGATTTTGGAATGTTTGCAACATACTTACTGGTTGGACTTCTCTAATCTGAAAATCTGAAACGCTCCAATGAACATTTCCTTTGGGCACCTCTGAGCATCATCTCAGTGTTCAAGAAGTTTCAGATTTTGGAGCATTTCAGATTTTCAGACTGGGCGTTTCAACCTGCACCACAAACCACTGAACTGTACACTTTAAAAGAGTGAATTTTATGACACGTAAATTTTACCTCAATTTCTAAAAACAAAGTATTTTACTTCTGAGACTAAAACAATTCCTCATATTCTTTCATGTACTGCAGGTACCAGCGGCATTTGTGTAGACTAACACCTTTAATGCACTAAAGCAATAATAACACATTTTTAAACACTAAGAAATTGCCAAATTTCAAAAGAGACCCATTATAAGAGTAAAGGCCGATTCCTAATTGCCAAGCATATGAATTAATCCCTTCTTCCTCACTGATAGGATCCGGTCTGTTTAGTGTTGCAACATGCTCAGCTGTAAAATATTTTCTTCCTTCGTCCTCACTGTAGTTAGCGAAGCTGCATTTATGGTGTCAACGACATTGTATAAAAATGAAACAAACCAAAATGAACAAAAAATTAAAACCAGAGTAGCTGCATGATCCCATTCTGGCCAATGAGATATAAATAGAAACTACTGATGGAACCTGCAGGAAAGCTCCTATTTCCCCCAATGAAAGAGGAATAGACTCAGCTGATACTCCCGTCTTGACCTTTGATCTTTCCCCCTTTCCTGCTTAGGATTTGGACACATGACTGGTGGTGCAGCAACCACCTTGTGGCCCTGACCATGGGAGTTAACCCACAGGTGGCTGGAGTGGAAACTACAAAGAGACCTCCTTGTGCAACAAAACCAACCCTAGACAGCCTATTTCTTAACTCCTTCTAATGACAGAAAAGCAAAATCCTGAACTGGTTAAGCCATTATAGTTGGGGTTCGGTTACATGCATGCCAGTATAACCTTGATAGAATGATCAACACAATACATGAAAAACATACACCATTACTGTTTACTGACAACTATATTAATGTATCAATTAATTCAAAAGCAAAAAGACAGAACGTACCTTCACAGCAGTATTTGGTTTCATACCACATCGATAAGTATTGGCTATCTGTGGAGTAAGCTGGATTTCCTTGGTGAGCTGCCTCCATTTTCCACACTCAGGTTTCGTACACTGAACCTGGATGGGAGGTATAAGTCAGGATCAACAAGTGAGCTAATCTTCAGTCACCATTTCCCTCCTCCACACTTGGCCATCTTCTCCAATCTTTTAGCAATCCTAAGTATTTTCTCTCCTCCTTGCATCACCACCATCTGTATAATCCACTTTCATCCATTAGGATCATTTCTGATTTAATACTTCGTCAGGGTGAGGTAAGTGCCAAGGTGATATGAGCACTGCTGTCAGGAAGCTTTTCCAGCTCTAACCTAAAGAAACAATCGGGGCCAGGCGTGGTGGCTCCACTCTGTAATCTCAGCACTTTGGGAAGTTGAGGTGGGTGGATCACTTGAGCCCAGGAGTTTCAGACTAGCCTGAGCAACATAGTGACACCCCGTTTCTACAAAAAATACAAAAGTGGTGGTACATGCCTGTAGTCCCAGATACTCAGGAGGCTGAGGTAGGAGGATGGCTTGAGCCTGGGGAGGTCAAGGCTGCAGTGAGTTGCGATTACACCACTGTACTCCAGCCTGGGCAATAGACTGAGACCCCATCTCAAAAAAAAAAAAAGGAACAATGGCCAGGCGCGGTGGCTCAAGCCTGTAATCCCAGCACTTTGGGAGGCCGAGCTGGGTGGATCACAAGAGATCGAGACCATCCTGGTCAACATGGTGAAACCCCGTCTCTACTAAAATTACAAAAAATTAGCTGGGCATGGTGGCGCGTGCCCAGCTACTCAGGAGGCTGAGGCAGGAGAATTGCCTGAACCCAGGAGGCGAAGGTTGCAGTGAGCCGAGATTGCACCATTGCACTCCAGCCTGGGTAACAACAGCGAAACTCTGTCTCAAAAAAAAAAAAAAAGGAAAAATCAGCATAAAATAAATTGAAATTTACTTTCAGTTAGTCAAAAAGTATGCACACTAAATGCAATGTGGTATGCTGCATTGGATTCTAGAACAGTAAAAGAACATTAGTGAGGAAGCTGATGAAATTCAAATAAAGTCTACAGTTATTAGTGCTATGCCAAAGTTAATTTCTTACTTTGACAAATAATCACGGTATATAAGATGACAGCATTAAGGGAAGCTGCATGAAGGATATATAGAAACTCTCTGTACTATCTTAGCAACTCTAAATGTAAAATGCTTCCAGACTGGGCGCAGTGGATCACACCTATAATCCCAGCACTTTGGGAGGCCAAGGCAGGCAGATCACCTGAAGTCAGGAGTTCAACACCAGCCTGGCCAACATGGTGAAACCCACGTCTCTACTAAAAGCAGAAAATTAGCTGGGCATGGTGGTACATTCCTGTAGTCCCAGCTACTCAGGAGGCTGAAGGAGGAGAATCGCTTGAACCCGGGAGACAGAGGATGCTGAGATCATGCCACTGCAATCCAGCCTGAGCAACAGAGCAAGACTCCATCTCAAAAACTAATAATAATAAATAATGATGATTCCAAAATAAACTTTGTTTAAAGTGTGCAGCTATCCATATGCAAAAGAATGAAGTTAGACCCCCTATTTTACACATACACAAATATTAATTCAAAATGGATCAAATACCTAAACATAAGTACTCAAACAACAGAACTCTTAGGAAACAAAGTAAACCTTTATGACCTGGAATTTGGCAATGAACTCTTAGCAACAACACCAAAAGCAACAAAAGAAAAAAACAGATAAACTGAACTTCCCCAAAATTAAAAATTTTTGTGCATCAAAGGGCTCTACCAAAGTAAAAAGACAACCTACAGGAAAAAAAATACTTGCAAATCATAGATATAATAAGGGTTTAGCATCCAAAATATATAAAAAGGCTGGGCACAGTGGTTCACGCCTGTAATCTTACCACTTTGGGAGGCCGAGGCAGAGGGATCACTTGAGGTCAGGAGTTCGAAATCTGCCTGGCCAACATGGGGAAACGCTGTCTCTACTAAAAAGACAAAAATTAGCCCAGCATGGTGGTGCACACCTATAATCCCAGCTATTCGGAAGGCTGAAGCAGGAAAATGGCTTGATCCCAGATTGAAGAGGTTGCAGTGAGCCAAGATCTCACCATTTCACTCCAGTCACGGTGACAGAACGAGATGCCATCCCAAAATCAAAACAAAACAAAAATGGGCAAAGGATGTTAACAGATATATCTCCAAAGATACACAAATGGACAACAAGCATATGAAAGGTTGCATTAGTCATTAGGGAAATGCAAATTAAAACCACCATGAGATACCACTTCAAATCTGTGGAGAAATCAGAACCCTCATACACTACAGACAGGAATGAAAAATAGTACAGCAGCTACAGGAAAAAAGTTTGAGGTCCCTCAAGAAGTTAAACATACAATTACCATATGCGATCCAGCAATTCTATTTTTAGGTACATACCAAAGAATTGTAAGCAGGTATTCAAACAAATACTTGTACGAGAATGTTCTAGTACTAGGCCCAATTGTTAAATGGCTGAAATGATCTAGATGTCCATCAACAGAAGAATGTTAAAAAAAAAACTGTGGCATATCCAGCCAATGGAATATTATTCACCCATTAAAAAAAGAATAAAGTGCTGACACATCCTACAATGGATATGAACCTCAAAAACATTATGCGGGGTAAAAAAGACAGGCTACAAAAGGTCACATGTTGCACAATTCCATTAACATCAAACATCCAAAATAGGTAAATCCATAAACACAGAAAGCAGATTAGTAGTTACCAGGAACTGGGGGTAGGAAGAATTAGAGTTTCCCTTGTGGATGATGAAAATACATGGGAGAAGGAAAGATCCAAGATGGCCGAATAGGAACAACTCTGGAGTGCAGTTCCCAGCAAGAAGAACTCAGAGGGTGAGTGATCACCGCATTTCCAAACAAGTTTTTATTGCCCACAGACCAGGAGATTCCTGGGCTGAAAAGCACCACGAGTTTCCAGCACAGCTGTTTCAGCAGGCGCTGCTGGTCGCCATACAAATATGGGTGGCCATTTCAACAGGCACCCAGAATGCCTGGGATACAGAGCCACCCACTCAATTGAAAAAAAGGGGGCTGGAACAGGGAGCCAGGTGATCTGGCTCAGCGGGTTCCACCCCCAACAAAGACCAGCAATCTGAAATGCTCCAGAAAGTTTTGCAGCAAGCCCAGCAGGACCCGAGACAGTCCAGCTCAGTGGGGGGAAGGGTGTCAGTCCACCACTGCCGAGGCAGTCCACCACTACCGAGGCAGTTCTAACAGAAAGTTCACACAACAGCAGGGCAGAGCCCACAGCAGCTCAGTAATGCCTCTGCTGGAAGACTTGGCTAGACTACCACCTTGCTGGGCAGGGCATCTCTGAAAAAAGGCAGCAGCATGTCAGGAACTTATAAATAAAGCCCCACTTTGCCAGGACAGAGCACCTGAGGAAAAGGGTGTTTATGAATTCTGCTGCAGCAGGCTTAAACGTACCTACCCAGAAGCTCTAAATGGAACAATGGAGCTCCCAGCTCAGCACTCCTATAAGGGACAGACTGTCTCCTCAAGAAGCTCCCTGACCCCTGTATATCCAAACAGACACTCGTAAAGGAGATATCAGGCTGACATCTGGCAGGTACCAATCTGGGACAAAGATAACAGAAGAAGAAACTGGCAACAACCCTTACTGTTTTGCAGCCACTGCAGGTGAGCCCCAGGCAAGCAAGGTCTGGAGTGGACCTCCAGCAGGCCTACAGCAGAGAGTCCTGATGGTTAGAAGGAAAACTAAAAAACAGAAATAACTTCAGCATCAACAAAAAGGACGTCCACTCTGAGACCCCATCTGAAAGTCACCAACTACAAAGACGACAGGTAGATAAATCCACAAAGATGGGAAGAAACCAACACAAAAAGGATGAAAACACCAAAAACCAGAATGCCTCTCCTCAAAGGGATCACAACCCCACACCAGGAAAGAAACAAAGCTGGACAGAGAATGAGTTTGATGAATTGACAGAAACAGGCTTGAGAAGGTGAATAATAACAAACTTCTCTGAGATAAAAGAACATGTTCTAACCCAATGCAAAGAAACTAAGAACGTTGAAAAAAGGTTTGATGGAATGTTAATGAGAACAAACAGCTTAGAGAGAAATATAAATGAATCGATGGAGCTGAAAAAACACAACACAAGAACTTCGCAAAGCATACACAAGTTTCAATAGCTGAATTGACCAAGCAAAAGAAAGGATATCAGAGACTGAAGATCACCTCAATCAAATAAAACAAGGCAAGATTAGAGAAGAAAGAGTGAAAAGAAATGAACAAAGCCTCCAAGAAATATGGGATTATGTGAAAAGACCTAATTTACATTTGATAGGTGTACCTGAATGTGACGGAAAGAATGAATACAAGCTGGAAAACACTCTTCAGGATATTATCCAGGAGAACTTCCCCAACCTAACAAGACAGGCCAACACTCAAATTCAGGAAATACAGAGACCACCACAAAGATATTCCTCAAGAAGAGCAATCCCAAGGCACATAATCATCAGATTCACCAAGGATGAAATGAAGGAAAAAATGCTAAGGGCAGCCAGAGAGAAAGGTTGGTTTACCCACAAAGAAAAGCCCATCAGACTCACAGGGGATCTCTCCACAGAAACCCTACAAGCCAGAAGAGAGTGGGGGCCAACATCCAACATCCTTAAAGAAAAGAACTTTCAACCTAGAATTTCATATCCAGCCAAACTAAGCTTCATAAGCGAAGGAGAAATAAAATCCTTTATGAACAAGTAATTGCTAAGAGATTTTGTCACCACAAGACCTGCCTTACAAGAGCTCCTGAAAGAAGCACTAAACATAAAAAGGAGCAACTAGTACCAGCCACTCCAAACACATACCAAATGGTAAAAAGCTCAATATAATTAAGAAACTGCATCAACTAACAGCAAAACAACCAGCTAGCATCAAAATGGCAGGATCAAATTCACACATAACAATATTAACCTTAATGTAAATGGGCTAAATGCCCCAATCAAAAGACACAGACAGGCAAACTGGATAAAAAGTCAAAACCCA